ACACAGCCCTGATTTCGGCCACCAATTATCCAGAGATGAGCAGACGTCTGAGAGGAACGATCGCGAGTGGTAAAGCACATGATTTCCGCTCGTTATGAAGACAAACATGGCGAAAGTTCGAGGCATGGCGTTGCAAACGTGTACGGAATGCCAGTAAATTTAGTAAGGCGTTGCGATCTGTACCATCGGTTCGACAAAGAAATTGCAGTAGCGACAGGTATGCTGTCAAGTGAAAATTGAGAGGATTACATGGAGACCATGGACGGAGACGGAGAGATTTCAGCACAGTTGCGCAACGAATCAAATATAGATCCATTACAGATAGTGTCGACTGTGAAGAGATTACGGTCATTAGCCGCAGAACTTCCTCCAAGTATCGCCGATCGGGATAATTCGAGAGGTACATTGCGGAACGTTGATGACATCGGAGAATATAACTCAAGAGATCCGTTTTGCAGAGGCGGACGAGGGCAGGCCCACCGACCAGAGTTCCTTGGGACGCAACTCGAGCAGCCAGGTCAAAATACAAGTATGTTTGTTGAGTTATGTGCAGTCACTTTCTTGTTCTGATCCTGGTTTGGCCTCATGTAATTGTGTCTTTCTCTCCTCTTATAAGTGAGGTATCGACCAGCGGTTCAGCCTTACGCTTGGAGAAGAACAATTCACTATTTAGCAGCAACCATAAAATGTGATCAACAGTTGAAGCAGAGAACATGAGATGAATGAGCGGGCAACGAGTGGTCGGTCGAAGAAGGCGGCAGATGATTTGGTTTCTCAAGCAGAGAGAGATTAGCTAATCTTTTGGTTGCCCCCTTCTACATCGGGTGTAGGTATCCTATAGGTCAACTCCTCCCTCTTAATCATTCAACTTGCAAGGCTCGCCTTTTGCATTCGCACGCAGGTTTTTCTGACAGGATAGGGCCGGTGGGATGCTTAGTAACCTATAGCTGCTAAGTGACGCTGCAATTAGAAAAAAAATCTAGGGGACTGTTGAAAACGTTTCAAATAAGTCTGCAGCTTCTCTACTGGTGAATCCTCGGAATTGATGTTGAGGCTGGATGTTTCTTGTAGCTTTGATATAACCTTTGGCTTTAGATAATTACACCAACGTCAACTAACAGAGCAGCACTCCGCTCATGCGGTGATAGACTGCGCCTCTGAGGACGGCAGTCCAGTCGTACTCTGGTTCAAACACTGATGTCATAGAATTAATTATCTCAACAGTTGGGGAAAATGCAGGAAGAAAAGTGGTTGAAAACGCTTCAGATAATGCTCATGGGATAAACAGACAACAGCGCTAACATGAGAGCGTGCAGGGAAGTAGCGCGTCTAGCTATGATTAAGCGTGTGGCTGGCCATACAGCATGCGACGTGTCTCTGCTCTGCATGCGAGCGGAAACACAAACACATCGACTCCCTCCATACTTCGGACTCATTTTCGCGCTGTATCGAGTGATGTGCAGAATCCCACAGCTGCCACCTGTTCTGCTTACACATGGCAAGGATTTGACCTCGAAAGTGAGGTAGTGCTCGACTCGAAGGATCATACTAAGAAGTGAACTCGGTCGAGGCAAAGACGCCAAGGACTTGCAGTTCATGGCTGCCCTCGTCCACGACACCCACTGTAAGTGCCCCACGGCGAATAGCGGTCTCACTCGTCTATGTGATCCGTCAGCCCTTACACTCTCTTCTCTCACCCGTGCGCTCAGTGCCTCTACACCGTATGCTTTCGTACTGCGTCTACGAACTATGCGATTTTCTCCTTGTCGTGACAGCTTGAACACAGCTGCACCTGAATTTGCGTGAAAATTTGAAGTCCAAAATGTAGATGGTGTGCGATGTTTTGTCTTCTTCTCGTCCAATAGCGAAATTGTCCGGCTTGATATCGCGATGAATAAATCCGCACTGAAATGGAACTTCTCTTCTGCAGTCTCGGAGTAAACCTAAGTATATCTGTCGAAAGCTGAGCTGTGTAATCTCTAGTATCAGTAGGGTAACTCACAAAGTGAAGGTCACGGATGGATGCAAGGGTTTGTTCGCCTACACGTAACGCCGTTATCATTGAGAATTTTTTGTCTGGGCAATCGGCTAGGACATCTAGTAGGTTCTTTCCAGCCTGTAAAAAGTGATGATTTCTTCAGATGACTCTTACGCCCTCTTTTCTGAGTTCTGAGAAACGTTTCATAATTATAAAATACATTCGACGACCCACCATTTTGAGTACGATGAAAACGAAACGATCGTCAACCAAGCCGCGATCTTCAAATGTGAGGAAGTGAGGCGAGTTGTATGACTTCAAAGCCTCATATACTCTTGCTTCATGTCTCAAGGTCTTAAATTTATTGTTATTCAGGAACTGGTAGCACATAATGTCTGTATCACTGCAAAGCGATGGGAGTGTCCAGGAGCGTGGATATAAGTGCAGCGGCGTTCGCATTTCTACCCAGTTGTCTGCAGCTGCCACTGCACTCAAATCCACGTTTCTGTCACGCCGTCGTTTCCATATATGGACACATAATTTTTGCATCTGTTCCACTCCAAGCTAGAAGTGCACATTTCTTATGTCCCGTTGAGAGAAATGTTTAGCTCGCAGTCATATCACTACGAAGTTTACCGTACGAAGCGCTGCGCTTTCCGGAAGCGGAAAGTATCAACCGTGATCCACCTGAAATTCTATTGAGCAGTGCTGATGTCCAGTGAAATCTGCTGAGCACCCGGCACAAGATCCCTTATCTCTTATCTTATCCTTTCTTTGAGAACGTGTCCCCAACTGGCACTTTTCGAAGGGCCGGTTTTTGCTTTTCGGCACCTTTGCCGAAAAGCAAGGTTTTTGGCATTTTTGCTATTTTTGCTCGAAGGGCGTCATTATGCCCTTTTGAGCAAAAAAACTCGTCCCTAAGGGGACTCCATGCCGGTTTTTTCGCGATTTTTCCTGTAGGAGGCACGGATGAACCCGCGTAGGATACTCGGAGCATCCGTTAGCGTAGAATCACACCAAGGCTCTGTGTTTTCCCACTTCTTTCCGTTCTCGTCGTGGATTCGATGTCATTTGTTCCTCAGAAACCAGTTCCTTTGACGTTTTCTCTTCAGTGAAGACGTGATGCGGTCTGTGAGAACAAGATGATTCGAAAACAGGTGCAAACTCAGCAATCGCTTGACGAACACTGGTCCAGCGCTAAGCGAAAAAAACGAGTGTTTGACGACGGACCAACCGAGTCTACTCCAGTGAATCACTGACGTGAAGCTAACGCTGCAAAAATATACAAGTGTCTCAGAAATCAGAAATTGCGTCTTGTGGCATCACTCTGGAGTAAACTGGGCCATGTAGCTGCAGTTCGATGCGAGTGGCGTTCTTCGGCTGGCATCCACGTCGATAGAAGGATGTTATGTCCATTGTTTACAGGACGTTGGTTCAACTACTCGCACCCCACATTACAGGGTTCTTTACTGCAATGGACGAAGTGAAAGACTCCGGGTCTCACGCAAAAGGAACATTGTTGAGGAGAGGGCTCTTGCTACCATGAGACGCGTGAGAGATGCGATGTCGCCGATATAGCTGATGAAGATTTCGGAACTCGTCTTCGGCGATGAGGCCTACTCGCGTGGAAGCTGACACCGACGTGAGACTGCTCATCAGTGTGCTGGAAAAACGGTCTGAAGGGCGCCCAAACAACGGTGGTTCGATACGTTAATGGACATAAAAACAATTGGGCAGCGATGTCGATCAGGCATTCAATAGAGGGAAGCGGCTCAACAGAGTAGACCACACATCCACATTTTCTTCCGTGAGCTCCATAACTTCCTGTCTCGTTGCATACGCCTGCAACTCGACGCGATAACAGTCTGGTTTCTAGATCAGTCTCTTGAACTTATATAGATGTGCACTCATAGCGCTTCGGCATACGCTTTTGGTGCGAACATCGCTTTTTGGGGCTACTGTAATCGTGGTTTGTCGCACAGTGTAGGAGTCGGCTATGCCGTTCAATAGTTGGCAAGATCACCGAATACGAGCAGACATGTTAGTCGCGGATCATATCCTAAATACTAGCGCTATGAAGCTGACCTTCCGGAATTGGGAATGTATTCACCGTGATCCACTCTGAAGCTCTAATGAGCAGCTGGTTGATTGCCCAGTGAAATCTGCTGAGGGGGGGGCAGCTCAGTGCAAGATCCCTTTTAATCTCGGCGTCCTGTAGGAGCTTACGGATTGAACCAGCGCGGTGAGCCTGAGAGACCTCGTGTGGGTCCACGGCTGTCGCCCGCCGCAGGCTTCTCTCGTCGTCGGCGCGGGCCTGTTCAAGCCTTGTCGCTGCTGCGGGCGGCGGGATCGTTTTCTGGTCAAGGCTGCGCGACCGGCCCACAGATGGGGGCAGGGGAGTAAAAAGCGCAGGCCGTGGGGCCCGCCGGGACGGCGTGTAAATTTGTCGTGCAGTCAAACGGCTCGTTTCCCGACGCCGCAGCGCAGGATAGAAGCCTCGGAAGGCATCCGTTAGCGTAGAATCACACCAAGGCTCTGTGTTTTCCCCACTTCATTTCCGTTCTCGTCGTGGATTCGATGTCATTTGTTCCTCAGAAACCAGTTCCTTTGACGTTTTCTCTTCATGAAGATGGTGCGGTCTGCGTGACGAACAACATAGATTTCGAAAACCAGGTGGCGAAACTTGGCCCAAGCGCTGAGCGACACTGGTCCAGCGCCTAAAGCGAAAAAGCGAGTGTTTGACGACGACGCACCGCGAATCTACTCCAGTGAATCACATGACGTGAAGCTAAAACGCTGGCACAAAATATACGAGTGTCTCAGAAATCAGAATTGCGTCTTGTGGCATCACTCTGGAGTAAACTGGGCCATGGCTGCAGTTCGATGCGAGTGGCGTTCTTCGGCTGGCATCCACGTCGATAGAAGGATGTTATGTCCATTGTTTACAGACGTTGGTTGCAACCTACTCGGCAGCCGCACATTAAAGGTTCTTTACTGCCAAGTGAGACACAGTGATAAGACTTCCGGGTCTCCTGACGCAAAAGGAAGCATTGTTGAGGAGAGAGGCTGCTTGCTACGATGAGACGCGCTGAAGAGATGGCGATGCTCGCTCATGATAGCTGATAGAGATTTTCGAGAACCTCGTGCTTCGACGATGAGGCTTACTTCGCCCCCGCCCCTCGCGAAGATGATCCACCGCGCTGAGATTCTGCATCAGTTCAGCGTGGCTAGAAAAAACGGTCTGAAGGGCGCCCAAACAACGGTGGTTCGATACGTTAATGGACATAAAAACAATTGGGCAGCGATGTCGATCAGGCATTCAATAGAGGGAAGCGGCTCAACAGAGTAGACCACACATCCACATTTTCTTCCGTGAGCTCCATAACTTCTGTCTGCGTTGCAATGCGGCGCTGCAACTCGACGCGATATAAGTCTGGTTTCCAGAGTGCTCTTGACACTATATACGACTGTGGCACGTTCGCATAGGTTTCGGATTGCGCGTTTGTTGGGGAGCATCGCTCCTTTTTGGGAGCTACTGTAATCGTCCTTTGTCCGCACCAAGAATGAGGAGATGGCGAGTCATTCGGCTAATGCCGTTTGGACTCCAGAAATTTCGGCTCGAGCTCATTTTAAAAGTGGCAAGATCACCAAATCCGCTAAAAACTTGTATATAGGGGTAATTCAACATCCTGATCACGAATATGACATTCATTTTTGGCGCTGGCGCTAATGGATGACACTACGGTTACCTGCGCTCTGCTAAGGCTGAGCCCAGGAGGTAATCGTAGTGTCCTCTCTTGGCGCCAGCGCCAAGAATGAGTGTCATACTCGTAATCAGGATGTTGAATTACCCCTATATACAAGTTTTTAGTGGATTTGGTGGCTTAGGCAATTTGAAAATGAGCTCGGAGCCGAAATTTCTGGAGTCCAAACGGCATTAGCCGCAGTCTTCATATGAAAACATCCCGCAACAAGCATGCTCGCCAGGTTAGAATGATGTATCGCTCCCCCCCCCATCTCTGAGATATGGAGTTTATTCAGTATTAATGTATAGCTATATTGAACGGAAAAACTTCCCAAGAGGTGTGAAAGCGATAACTTCTTACCGGGTTCTTAATTTTTAATCCTTCACATTTCATTGCTTGAATCTTGCCATCTTCAAGCCTCAACACTTGATAAACACACCCACACGAACTTTTTGCCATCAGATCTTGTATCTAGAATGGTAAGCACGCATTAGACATCCTGCCGTCCATTACCACAGAACGTAGACAAGCATTGCAAACGTTTTCTGCAGCATCTGGGGCCGTATGCTATATCTCCTCTCGACGGGATGGGAGACGGGCAAGAGAATCGTAATTTGCCGCTCCGCCGCGCGCGGCGATGGGCGCGGCGTTTTCTTAACTCGTGTTAACCTGTCGATTGGAGCACCGGACTTCATGTAGACCCCGTCATCGTAGACATTCATGACTATTTTCGGTTCTGAATTGCCTGTTGTCGCCATCTACTACCTGGAACCATCGTCATTTGCGGCGACGCACGCGACGCCCACCAGCGCGGTGAATTACGATTCTCTTGTCACATACCCAGGAGAGATACCCCCTGG